AAATGAACATTCCAATTTTGATAATAACTGCACACACTAACAGATGGTAGCATCGAAGCCTACAATATATATATATATATATATATATATATATATACATATATATATATATATATATATATATATATATATATATATATATACTATACATATATATATACATATACATATACATATATATATATACATATATATACATATACATATATATATATATATATATATATATATATATATATATATATATATATATATATATATATATATATATATGTATCCACTTTGCACACGTTTTCGTTCCTTATATTTTGATGCAACTTTTACGCATTTTGCGTTTGAGTAAAAATTTCTGCACGATTTGTGATAGAGATTGTATACCACAATCTGTTATCAACATCATTCTTACATATTTGGGTAAAACATGTACACAGTTCATATACGAAAGTTGTGATGATAGAAGTTACCGATGATCACGTTTCATTAATTCAGTATGTGTTTGTATGTATGGGTGGGACTTGTAACTTTTTATGAAAGCAGGAAAATATTATTTTCCCATGTTTTAAAATTTACAGAATGTTCTGAAATGAAACGTACTTCAAGCGTTTCACTTGCTAACATTAGCTAATAAAGACTTTGTTTCGCAATTTTTCACACGACTTTTGGCTGCCCCTGTCGGAAACTTACATTGCGCAGTTCAATGATACAGCGGGTGGTTGTAATACAACGTTGTTAATAACGCACTTATTTTTACTAAGAACATTATTCTGATAAGATATGATTTTATATCAAATTTTTGCGTGATAAGAAATTCCATCGCTGTTAAGATAAAATTATTTAATTATGGCTTATTTTCATAACTATGTTCGACTCAGCGGCTCAGGACTGTCTTTGGTCTCAGTTCGTCGTTTAATGGTTTTATCGTCACGATTGTAGATACGAAACTTAATCAGAACCTCCCAGTCAGATATAACCATTTAATGGTTTTGTGCATTCGTCAAGTAAGCCTAGGACACTGCAATCCATCGTGGTCTAACTGAGGCCGTTTTGTGCAGACAAATCTGTTTAAATTTATCAATTACTTTTTAATAATAAAACATAATTTTCATCCATGAAAATTGTAAGCAGTGGTAAAACAAATGCATGGAGAAAATATGTCCGTATGTCTACCTTAAATGCAGAGTTTTATACGGTAATTTGTTTAGAAAAAAAAAATCTAAAATCCAGATTGTGGAGGGGATACAATATCTTATCAGAAACACTTATCACGTGACTGGCATACTGTAAGATGCTGGTACTGAGATAAAGGCAGGCGCATTGCAGCATTACCCTACTGATAAGGAACATATCTCAGATCCGCAGATTCACATTTGATTTAAAATTTTAATGGAACATAATTGGTGGAGATGTTTCAAGTGCTTTCGGCAATTTTTCTGTTTATAAATATTGAAAAAAAGGAGAGTTGTATATAAATATGAAGTCTAAATGATATTTTCCAGGCCTTGACGTATGTTGAAAGAAATAATAACTCAAGAAGCCAACATTTACATTTAAAAGCCTCCGTCGTCTTTATCTATACACCTCTTCTAGACAAAACATATGAGATGCGATGGCGCAGTGGTTGGCATGCAGAACTCAAGAAGGATGCTGGTTTTAAATCCTACCACAGGATCAGCCTAGGTTTGCTACATGATGTGTCCTTGGGTAGGACTCTTTAGTCAAATTGCATCAGCATTACACACCTGCTTGTGTTGATCACCAGTATAACATAAAACCAAACTGCATCGTCCGGACACTCGCTCTACAAACTTAAATACATTCTAACTGGAATACGTGCGACTGTAAAGTCAATGAGTATAGAAGATATTGACAACCATTCTATACATGTATATGTTTATTAAAAATCTTCGTGAATGAACCACATTACGTCTTGAAGAATATTACTACAACTTCACAATCATTCTTGGACTGCCTACCCCCACCCCACCCCATCCCACCCCACCCAATCCCACCCCAACAAGATTAACTATCGCTGTACGAGAACGGTAGGACCCACTTCCAAGTTAGAAATATAAACTAATGAAAATGCATGTTGTCAAATTGTTGCAGGCTTGAAGATAAATCAGCTTAAGTGGGTACCGCTTGGATAATGGCCGAAAAGAATTGAATAAACAGACGTTTCTCTTTTCTGCAAGAAATTGGAAAAGTTTTGGAGAGCACGGAAACGGTCAATGTAAAAGCAATATAAAGAGGATGCATGAGATGATAATAATAACGTAAATATAGATAAATGTAAATAATTAACACAAAAATCAATAGTTAGCCCTGAGATATAATCCAAACAGACGGCGAAGACATGGTCACATGATCCGAAGCATAAGATGGCCAGATTATAACAGCAGTAGGGGTTAGTTCTATCATCCCCTTGATTATACAAAGGAAGAATCATATTTACACCCTCATTAAAAAGCCTACCTATAATGATACCCAAAACAAATATAATAGCTGTTTATCTAATGGCAAATTTTTAATTTTCTTGTTTGACGTTTTATGGTCTATACTGATACTTTTTGTCAGAAAATGTGTTTGTACTGTAAGGCTTTTGATTTAATTGATGAGAATGCTTGAAGGAATAAGAAGACAGAACAATAAAATCTTAACATATAGGTCTGCCTACTTCCATTAAAATTTTATGCGTGTTATTTCAATCCACATAAAATATATATGGTCGTTGCATCTTGGTTGACCTGGAGCTTTAGTTGTGTACATTTTTTAAAAAGCGTGGGTGTTCCTCTGGTATGCAGGACAATTACAAAGAAAAAAAAACAGAAAGAAAGAAGAGAAAGAAAACTATAGGTTGCTACATCCAAAGAATGAAGCATTTGATTATCTGCAAGAGTTTAATACATTTCATGACGTGTTTGTTTTTCTCGAAAAACTTATGCATGCAAACTATTTACATACAAGTTTTCAACATACATAGAGTTCTGGTGCTACAACGTGCAAATTCATCTCCGTTTTGTGATTCGTTCCTGCAGGTTTGGGGTAAAGTGATTCAAATTACTACCGATAGAGTTGATAAAATAATTAGAGCTTCAAGAATTTGTCAAAGAAAAGCTTTTTCAAGTCAGCATTACATTAGTGGTAAAGTGATTAAAAGTACTTCTGGTAGAGTAGATAAAATAACTATTGCTTCAGGAAATCCTCAAAGAAATGTTATTTTCAATTCAGCATGTCAGCATTGCATACGCTGTTAAATCAAAGGTGGTCACGAATGATACAAAATAGCGCCATTTTTTTTAAATAACAGCAATAAAATAGAAATCCCATTGACCCCCACCCAACGCTTTTGTATAAAATTTCATAAATACATGGTACGATACTGAATTTCTTGGACTGATAGGCAATTTGTGGTACAGATGTTACGGAAGGCAGACGAGTACAATACATGTAACTGTTAACAATAATACATCCTATTTAAGTGCCCAGACACGCATGCTTCGACAGAATATGTGTTTACACGGAATTAAATATGAAAACCCCAAATACATATGAACTTCAAGGGAAAAGTGGAGATCGGCGCCAAAGTGAGGAGTTGTAGAAGCCCTAATCCTCTAAGATTAAATCTGAATTTTTCTAGCTTCGTTCTAAACGGATTTGTTATTGACACATTTTTGCAGATTCCTTCATCAACACTGTACGATCCGTATCAGCACGTCACTTACCTTGACTGTTACTGGAAAGAAAGCTTTAAGAAACCATCACAATTTATTTAGGTATCATACTTAGTAAGCTATTTTACGAATTACAAAGACAAGTTTCTTAGATGATGCATTTCTTTGTAAATTAAACCGAACATTCACATTCTCAGCCATAGAGCCTCTCTTAAAGCCAAATTTTTCAAGACATTAAATAAACAAAAGTAAGAATTTTTTAAAATTATGTAATGCCTTTATATTCGAATGATAATCATCTTTTTTAATTTCAGGGATTATCATTAATTATGTAAAGTTTCTTGTTTGCGATATGACCGAAGTAACTTATTACGATATAGTTCCAGGTATTTGTAACAATACTATAAATATCGTACATATCAAATTAAGTAATTTGGAATCATTTGTGTTAAAATATCCTAATTTATTTCCAGTAGACTGGAGCTTCAGGTCAATATTATCAAAGAATATTATATTCAGAGCATGGGAGCCCCCAGATTAGGGCGAGGGGTATGGGCTTGTTCCCAGCTCCCCTTTCTCTGGATTTCATCTCTAAACATGTTTTTGCCTACATTCGTAAAACATAATGGCAGACCACTTCATTGTTTGTCCCCTCCCCTAACACATATCTGCGGGAGCCCCTGATGTTGAGCCACATTTAAACATCAATAATACTATTGGAACAGTATAGTTAAAATGAATACTAGTATTAGAACAAAATATATTCCAGCATCACACATAGGATGTGATGAAATTTGGACTTTTAACATAGCTTTAACACTTTTTCAGTCATATCGCTACGATGTCTGCATTGTGGTAGTTTAAAGTGATGTCTAGCACTGGGGCATCACGCCGCAGACATTTAGCATGATGTCCCACCCAGTCACATTATTCTGACACCAGGCCGACCAGTCCTAACACTAACCTCAATCCTGAGCGCCAAGCGAGGCAGCTGTTAGTATCATTGTTATAAGTCTTTGTTATGGCTCTGGCGGGTATCGAACCCACGAGCTTCCGCATTCTATGCGTACCCTCTAACCACTAGGCCACTGGAGCGGTAGCATCAGACATACTTGCAACATTAATAGAAAACTAAGGGACTCCAAAACGTACTTTTAAAACTTGTTGCACTTCAGACGGGTGTATATAAATGTTTTTAAATATGACTGCAAAATGGGTTATCCAAATTTAGCTTTCATACGTATTTACCGGTCTTCTCAATTCACCAGTTTCAGGTCATTTTAAATGATATATCAGTTACTTGTGAAGTTTTGATTAGGAGTATTTTCCGCTCCGGTGGCCTAAGTGGCTGAGCGTCCGCCTCAGATACGGAAGATCGCGGGTTCAAACCCCGGCCGAGTCATACCAAACACTTTAAAATAGGCTAATGTGACGAAGTGGGACATCATGCTGAACCACTGCAGCATGATACACCAGTGCTCAACCATCACTATAAACTGCCACACTGCATATATCGTAGCGATATGACCGTACAATTGATAAAGCTACGTTAAAATCCAAATCTGACATACACATATTTTCTAAAATTTTCTACATTTTTGATAAAATCCAGTATATTAGTCATAAGAAAACACCGAGATGTTCTTACTTAGACCCAAGTATGCAAGCAATATATATATATATATATATATATATATATATATATATATATATATATATATATATATATATATATATATATATATATATATATATATATATACAATTAATCAGTTTGCATTTTTTAAGAGTACCGTATGTACTCGCTTATAAGTAGAGGCAAACTGCAAGCAATAAATATCTTGGTCTTCGCATAATGCGTCTGCAAATCAGGGTCTATGTTGTTTGTTCTACTGAATACTCCAAACAAAGTGCACAGACACAGTTCTGCCAGTGCCTTATGCAACGGCATATCTGTGTCTTTGCAATTTGCATTTGGACTGGGTTATAAGCAAGTACAGATGGTAACTGGAATGTATAGTGCAATGGACCTATAAGGAACCAGCTGAATTAAACATACATCCAACCGTTTAGTCTATAGTGCTGATGTCTGTTCGATGCAAGTTAATTCTTCACTGGTTGGAAACGAGGAAAAATTAAAGTAAAAAAAATCATTGATTTTCTTTAAGTCAAGCTAATTGTCTCAATTATTGAAGTGCTACCTTGAAATCATTTTGCCGGTAGTTAAAGTTGGACTTCCTGTTATATGACAAAACTCTCCGGGATTCTAATTATTCTGCTTTTCTTACATACATAGTAGACAATATTTAAATTAAAATGATTGCTATTAACTAAGTGGACAACTTGTCTTGAAATTATTAATAATCAGAAGAGAGAGAGAGAGAGAGAGAGAGAGAGAGAGAGAGAGAGAGAGAGAGAGAGAGAGAGAAAGAGAGAGAGAGAATAAAACAACAAAATATTTACAGCAAGATTTATTGACCAGCAATATGACATTTTGTGATTAGTATGCAACAAAAGATTAAACAGATAAACTGTTCTTCGTAACTATGATTTAAATAAAAGAAATAATTTATCTGGAATAAGGCGTGATATAACTTTTTTTCTAAAGTGTCAACGTCAACAAACTGAAAAATGAGTAATACCATTTCGTAAGAGGTAAAACTATATATATATATATATATATATATATATATATATATATATATATATATATATATATATATATATATATATATATATATATATAAACAAAATAAGACAGTCTGAGATAATAATAAAAAATTGATATAAATGAAGACAAGAACAAGGTTGAAATTCATGGTATCACAGCTGACGCTTTTAAACTCATAAATCTATGTCTAACTTATCGTGGAGGGAAAACGTTTACATTTTTATAAACAAAACATAGCAACTAGTCAGGAAAGGGAGAAAATGTTGCACTCATTTCGTGCTTTTAGTGAATTTTTTTCAGAAACAGACACATCTGATAAAGACACCGTTGATAAGCTGCTATACGTCGCGGTCAAATTTTATAGATTTCATCCACGTACAGCAAGATAGTCATCTAACAATGATAAAAACATTAACAGAAAAGCGAGACATTTGGAAAGTAGATCAGGATTTTTAAGATGGAACGAAGCAGTCCAATTGATGGATTTCCGTCTACATTCAGATTTCCACAACTTACATCAAAATCAAATCAAGGATCTGATAGCAAATCTAAATTCCCACACATCCAGTCAAAATTTGAGCTGCGATGTTCTTGTTCCCGCATCATATATGTGTATGGAGCAGCGTAAGAGCAGAGAGAAAAATTGCAAATTAATTGTAATATTTTATAAGTGAAAGAAGATAAAAATGAAGTAAAAAGACACAAGGTAATAAGGAAATGGAATACTAAATAAATAAGTATTTGAGAGAGAGAGAGAGAGAGAGAGAGAGAGAGAGAGAGAGAGAGAGAGAGAGAGAGAGAGAGAGAGAGACTTTATCTTTGTTGGTAGTTTTAAGATTCAGAATTAACTTGATTTTGGCTGATTTACATTATAAGAAAATAAAACTGAAAAAAACCCAATAATCTTATTATGTGCCATTAATATAAACTCTCCGTTTCAGATAACAAGAAAAATGATCTGAAAAGTAGAATACAACAATAAAAATAAACAATCATATCATGTGTTTTTCAAACGCCCAAACATTTCATCAATATTCATCTCCGATTAAATTTATCTTAATAATATTTAAAATTGAGGCAATGCAGAAGACATAAATTTGCTCCATCGAACGCGTTCAGGACAGAATTTATGTGAATAGACGCAAGCAAACAGTGACTATAGAGACTGTTGTAACTTTTGGGATTTTCTCTGATTCATCCTCGGCTTCTGCAATCAATGTCATCGGAAAATCTAGATACCACTTTCATAAAAAGTGACTAGCGCTGATGCGTGAATAATACACACAGGCTTGTCGGCCTTGTTAGCGACAAAAGTCATCGGCTGGGGAGCATACGTTTTAGCGTGATTGCCTATCTGTTCGATCATCAAAATCTGGCTGGAAAGGGGACGGCTCAAAGAAGCATGGGCATCAAAGTTTATTACATGCTCACTGAGATAGTATGTCGAAAAAAAAACAACTAAATTTTTGGAAATAGCAAAAAATGAGTGATCCACGTGGCTTAAAAAAAATCGCAGAACTTTTCCAAGACGTCTTTTTCCTAGACGAGACATTACTCAGTTGAAAATGGATTAATCCTAATAGAATGAACAAAACTAGTCCTGGGGATTTTGATAAAATCTATGATCGAGGGGAAACATACATCTATTAGTAATCAACAGAATGCTTGACTGTTTATTTTCACCCTGTGTATCGCAATAAAGAACAAAAAGACATTTGTGTTCGTTATCAGATGTCGTCTATAGCATGCTTAGAAAACCAATCAAATTCGGCTAAAATTTCTATTTTGTGCAATAATTTCATCTCATAAAAGAACCCCCATGGAATATTTACCGAGTCAGTTCAATATTTAAACAGAACAAATTGTCTTATCTCTCTGCAAAATTTCAGTAGCTTTTATTACAGGGGAGGAGACGGGTATTCTCCGTTTTATTACTTAAAACTGAATTATCGAAGAATGGGAATTGTTTCCGTTTAAAACATCCATCTAATCGTTTTTATATTTATTGATATTTATTACATTTCTTTATTCATAATGGTTGTCATGTATGCTCACACCATGAAGTGGTTTTGGCATTCAGTTTAAGATGCAACACACACACACACACACACACACACACACACACACACACACACACACACACACACACAGAAATAAAAATTTCAGTTTTTACATATTCGAAATATAGAAAATACTGTTTTTGTATTTATAAAAGCCATTCCACAAGAGACACTGGGTCACATGAACGAGTACTGCATTTTAATTACAATTTATATCAAAATGAATCATGAATAACCGATTATTATGTGCCAAACTTTGCTACATTGACAATTGTAATGACAAAATTCTAAATCAAACAGGAAACAATTGTTTTTATTTTATTACATAATCAAAGTATGCCGCTACATAAATATATAGGACTGTTCTTTATGGGTTTAGAAAAGTAAAACTGCCAGCGTCATCATCGGATTGAATTTATTCACCAATAAGCGTTTACCTTTCCAGTAGAAGAAATATCAAGATAGAACGTCTTTCTTTATTATTTTTCATTTCTCATTCGTTATGATAGCTACCAAATATATATCTTCTGATCATGCGGCGAAATTTCGCCGTTAGTTGGCATAAAGACTGCTGCAAAGAAAGACATCGAAGATTTGTTTTTTATTTGTGTACCACTGACCATGGAACGTTAAATGTTTACTTGAATCAAGAAAAAATTAACACAGGAAATAACAGTTTATCATGTGATAGAGACAGTATATTTCGTTGATAATTAATAAGGATTAAGATTGATATAGTTATTTAAATGAAGTTTTACCTACCCCATTTTTGCTGGCCAAGGGTCACCCATTTACTTCTTTCTACGTCGATTTCAATCTAGAAACACTGTCAACAGCCCCGCTATTTGGCTGGATGCACGACAAAAAAATGAACTAAGCATATTTCTTGTTGCATTACACTTTGGAATAATTGCTATGGCCTTTGGAGACGTCGATGCAGGTTGTACGAAAGTTTCATCAATTTAAACACTTCAGGTACACGTTTTTCTCTCTGGTCATGGCATGTGAACACAAGTAAAGTTGTCATTTTGAATACTTATCAGGTCATGCTGGTCAAGCTAGCTACGAACTGCAGCTCTTTTGTCAATAAAGCACTTGTTCAAAACAGTTTAGACAAGCTACATCTATGCCAAGGGTCGATGTAGAGAAATAGCCAGCTACTTATGTGCCAAGGGTCAATGTGGAACAACGGATAGCTACATATATGCCAAGGGTAGACTTGGAACAAAGGATAGCTACATATATGCCAAGGGTAGATTTGGAACAAAGGATAGCTACATATATGTCAAAGGTCGAAGTTGAACAACGGCTAGCTTTATATATGCCAAGGATCGATGTGGAACAACGGATAGCTACATATATGTCAAAGATTGATGGTGAACAACAGCTACCTTTATATATGCCAACGGTCAATGTGGAACAACGGATAGCTACAAGGGTAGAGTTGGAACAACGGATAGCTACAAGGGTAGAGTTGGAACAACGGATAGCTACATATATGTCAAAGGTCGATGTTGAACAACGGCTAGCTACATACATGCTAAGGGTCGATGAGGAACAACGGCTAGCTACATATATGCCAAAGGTGGATGTGGAACAACGGATAGCTACATATATGTCAAAGGTTGATGTTGAACAACAGCTAGCTTTATATATGCCAAGGGTCGATGT